CTGCTCCTACTGCTCCTACTGCTCCTGCTGCTGCCGCTGCTATTGCTGCTGCTAATGACAATAATGATGGAAACGATAAGGATAAGGATAAGAATAATTGTGAAAATACGTACCAAAAGAAGAATAGAGCTAATCTTCATCGGCGCATTGTATCCAATGAAGTATAATGGTAAAGGATATCCGTCAACCCTGAATCATAAGGACCCTTGAAAGGGTTGGGGGGGGGGCCTTCATACCTGCAATAAGGACCTAATAAGGCCTATTTAGGGAAGGGAAAGTCCCCTCCCCCTTACCCCCCTAAGGGTCGCTATGACTGAAGCCCAGCTACTGATGGCACGGCCGCTGCAGGTCCTACTCCCCAGAAACCTTCGATGATGCAGCATTTCCGCAGGCGCCCGGGGCATTCTGAACCCTAAGCCCGGAGCTTCCTTATAAGGTTCCACAAGGGCTTCTCTAAGGCTTCTAGAAGGGTTCTTCGAGGATTCTAGACTTCTAGAAGAGTGTGGGGCTTCCTCTAGGGCATCTACGCTTGAACCGAAGCGTCTCTTTGCCTGCTTGGGCGAGTTTCCATGAGGGGCTCCGCCCCCAAGACCCAAGGAAACAAAACCCTTTCGAACCCTTATAAAGAACCCTCTTTTAAAGGAGCCACCCTCAAAGGAACCCTTGAGGGAACCCATTTGCGGGGAGCCCCTTGAAATGACCTTTAAGGGAACCCTTCACGCCTTCTTGAGTGACTCCTGCGATCTCGCAGGTGTGCATTAACAGACCCCTTAAAGAAGCCCTCAAGAAACACCCTTAAAGGAACCTTTCAAGGAAGCCTTAACGGAACCCTTAAAGAAAGCCCAAACAGGAGGAAGCACCGGGCGACGAGTCGTCGACCCACAAGGAGCGCTCCGGGGAGCCGTCTGAGGCGCCCAGTGGAGGCCGGCAAGGGAAATCCGAAGTTTCACGGGAGTTTGATACAGGGGCCTAACTAATTTACCAATACTATTTTGGGGCTCCAACAGACTCCAAAACCCTATTCTAATTATTAAGGCCCCTACATTAGGGTTAGGGGGTTCTGGGTTTGGGAGGGTTTGGGGTTTAGGGTTTGGGGTTGGGGGTTTGGGGTACAGAGCTTTAGGACTGTTGGGCTGTGGAGTTGAGGGCTTTCGGGGGCAGGACCAGAGACCTGCTGAAACCCTAAACCCTAAACCCTAAACCCTAAACCCTAAACGAAGGTCAAGCAGAAGCGAGCGAAGCGGAAGAGGCCGACGAAGACGACCTCCCCTGGCGCGAGCCTTAGTCAAGGGGCGATAGAGAGTCTCTGTGAGAGAGAGCAAGAACAGGGCTGCACTGTCAACCGGGGCTGTGCGGTATGAAGAAACTCTGTGACCCTAAACCCTAAACCCGAAAACTGCAGGAATTTGGCGCGCGCCGACCTGCTCTAGCAAGTCCGTGAAAAACGCGAAAACTCTAAGCGCCACCAGCATCCCAGGCAGCCTACGGAAGCGGTTCCCCCCGTCTTCCAGGCTGGTGCTCCGGGACCGTCTTAGAAGGGCTGTGCTCAGGGTTCCATGAAGGCCCTGTAAGGGTGTTCGGATGGTTCTACAACCCTAAACCCCAGACCCTAAACCCATATTATAAAGTTTGAGTTTTTTTGGTGCCTGGGGCCTAGGCACCGAAGAATAGGGCTGTAGGGCTTAGGATTGAGCAGCCCGAAGCCTTAAGCCCCAAGCACAACCCAACCCCAGGCCCCAAATCCTAAACCCTAGGATGAGCACCGAGACGCGGAAGTTGAGACATCATCATGTGTGCCGTTCTCTGAATGAGGGTCCCTTTGAGGGTCCGTCTTTTCAAAGGGTGCTGTACCATTTTGGGGACCTACAGACGGGCCCTAATTTAGAGAACGACCCATCTTCCTCCGCGCTTCGCTTTGGACCCTGCTGCATCATCGTGTGAGCTCATCCCTACGTAGGCGATGTTGGGTTTCCTGAAAATAGATGCCAAAAGCTAAACCCTAAACCCTAAACCGATATAGATACCTAAACTCGTAAACCCCTAAACCCTAAACCCTAAAGTCCAAAATTCTTAACCCCCCCTCAACCCTAAACCCTAAACCCTAAACCCCCCCTCCAAAAAAAAAAAGGCTGCCGGCAGCCGGCGGAGCCTGGCTCAGGCCTTGGACGCCGCCACGTCGGAGCCGGGTTTGGTCTGGGCTGGGGGGCGTCCTGTCAGGGGGGTTTAGGATTCCTTTAAAGGGATCTATAAGGGTTCCTTTAAAGAAATCTATAAATGGTTCCTTTAAAGGGATTCTGTAAAGGGTTCCTTTACAGGGATTCTATGAAGGGTTCCTTTAACGGGATCTGTTAAGGGTTCCTTGAAAAGATTCCATTAAGTGTTCCTTCAAAATCCAAGAAGGGGTTTAGTGTTTAGAGTTAGGAGGGTTTAGGGAGGAGGCTTACCGGGTTTGGGTTCCTTGAAACAAGCCATTAGGGGTTTGTCGAGCTTCAACAAGGGGCCTCGGCTCCGCTGAACAAATCTACAAGGGTTCTTTCAAGCGACCCTGGGTTTAGGGTTTAGGGTCTTTCAGGGGCTCTACTGTAGAAGGAGGTTGAGGGTCCCCCCACAACGAATGCTTTAAGGGTTGTGTTCTGAGATTTTTCTTGGGGGTTTAGGCTCCCATAACGGGTTCCTGAGGTTTGAACTCCGCACTGGCTCCATAAACTGCTGTAGAATGCCAACAGCACCCAAAATATATTACGGGTCGGAGTGCTTTCTTAAACTCTGCAATCTTTAAACACGACTGTTCGGGGCCTTATGGAGCCCTGCTCTAGGAACTTCGGCCCAACGGTGGAACCTTGGAGCTCCCTAAACCCTAAACCCCTAAGCCTAAACCTCTAAACCCTAAACCCTAAACCTCGAAACCCCTAAAGCCCTAAAGCTCTAAACCCCTAAACCCAACAACCCTAAACCCTTAAACCCCTAAACCCCGAGGGAGAGACATCCCTAACCATGAAGGGGTTTTGTCCTAGCAAACATGTTCTCCCCTAACCATGCCAACATTTCTGTCCTAACCATTGCATCGGATTTGTCCTAACCTTTGATCGGATTTCCCTTAACCGCCGCCAACTCGTGCAGGTGCGTAAGCGTAGCTTCAAGCCGGGCCACAACAGTTGGCTTGCCTACGACAGCCCCCGCAAGTCTAGTTTAGTATATAGTACTGTACGTGCATCAGGGCCCCTTTTTTGCGATTCCTTATAGGAACCTATAAGGGTAACTATAAAGGTACTATAAGGGTTCTACGGTGGCTGGATGCGCGCGGTTAGAGAGAAAACCCTGCGCGCGGTTAGAAAAAGCAGAGCGCAGTTAAGATGTCGTGTTTTTAACGTGGTTAAGAAATCACCCCCCTAAACCCCCAAAACCTAAAAGGCCCTAAACCCTAAAACCGTCAAGGCCCTAAGCCATTTCCGCAGCAGGAGGAGCCATCGGAAGCGCCGGCCGCAGTGATGGACGAGCTCCTGGCGCACCTCGAGGAGTCGCTGGTGCAGGCCGGTTGGGGGTTTAGGGTTTAGGGTTTAGGGGTTAGGGCTTAAGGTTTAGGGTTTAGGGTTCAGGGTATTTCAGGGTATGGGGTTTCGGGTTTAGGGTTTAGGGCTTTGGGTTCAGGGTTTTGGGGTTTAGGATTTTAGGGTTTAGGGGTGAGGGTCTGTAGAGCTTGGCTGGGTCGGGCGTTTTGGTTCTCGCTTCGGAGGATTTGGGGGTGGTGGGGCTTGGGGCTTCGGGTTCAGATTTCTTTTTACGATTATTGGGAGTCGCAAAGGGAAAGGCGGGAACCCAGATCCAAAGCCGTTGCCGAAGCCTGTTGCAAGCAGAAGCAGAAGTGAGGCTCGCACTCCCTTAGCATCTCGTGTGAATGGCACTCCAACTCGTCCTGATCCTGGTCTCGTGATTACCGTCATCGTCCACCTCAGTTATAACAGTATGATGACTGCCGTGACCATAATGGCGACTGTCGCCCGGCTGTGCTGCCTCCTCCTCCTCCTCCTCCCCCGCCCCCCCCACGACGACGACTACAGGTACACGCCCCAAAGCTCCTGACAGCAGCCGAGAGGTGGCCTTGTCTCAGAGCCACGCGGTGCTCCTGCGGCGCGCCGAGCTCCACGCGCTGACGCTGCTGGGGGCCGGTCGGGACTTCCTGTTGAGGCCTGGTTTGAAAATCAGAATCAGACTAGGATTCCTTTGAGAGTACGGGTTCTGTAAGAGCGTTCATAAAGGATTCAGGGCGTGTATAACAGGGTTCTACCAAGGGCATTGTGTGGGCCTTCGCGCGTCTCAGGGTCGGGGGTTTAGGGGGCTCTGGGTCTTAAAGGTTTAGGTTGAAAAGCCTTGCGCTTGGATGAATTTGGAGGTTTTAGAATGCAGGGCTTCGTCTGTGGGTTGGAGCATTGAGATTATGTTTCAAGGGTTGAGGGCTGAAGATCAGGGGCTTCGGTTCTGAGGGGTGGCTGGGGTTTCGGGTTTTGGGAGCTGAGGGTTTAGCCTTGGGGCCTTGGTTTTGTTAAGGGATCAGAATTGTCTACGTCATCCTGAGACAGTCTGAGCTCCCTTCCAAAGCCACATTCCCTCACCTACCCCGACCCTAGAATCCTCATAAAGCCGTCTACAGCCGTGAGGATACCGTTGTAAAAGCGTATAAAACCTGATGACACCCCTTCAGAACCCCTTCCAAGCCGCGATCAACCCCCTGCACCGTCTTCTTCCAGCCCTTGAAGACAGCTCTGGTCAAACTTTTTTAAATCCTTCTTAAAATCGTGACAGTACTAACATGTAAGAATGCACCTACAGGTGTTTAGTGCACCACAGGATTGTAGACCTACCCCCAAACCAGCACAGGAACCCTATTCTGATCATCAAGGCAGCCCTGTCTTGGAATCCCAGCCACATCGGGATCCCCCGACAGGTCTCTGCGCGGCAGCGCCGGCCGCCAGCGCCTAGCGCCGTCCTTGGGGAATGCATGGGCTCATCTTGCCGTCTGAAGCCACGGTTTAGGGTTTAGGGTTTAGGGCAAAGTTCAGGACCTTGAAGAGATAATCTTGAACTCCTGGGTCTAGACGTTGAGACAAAAGCCTATGCGCTTGGACATGGGACACCCAGCGAGCCCGATATTCCTTAAGGATGGTTTTCCTTATCTTACGCACGGATCCTGAGTTTATTGTATACATATGTGTATATATATATATATATCGGTATGT